GAGAACCGCGGCTACTGCACGCTTGCAGCGCGGCTCGGGGACTTACTGTGCTCCAGAGGGCATGCGATAGTAGAAGGAAACGCTCCGGAAATGCAACAACCAGAGAGCACCGCAGGGGGAGGAGGGACGGGAACCAGCGAGCAGTGTTTCGGCTGGGCCATCCGGAGTTCGCTTTAGCACAAAAATCCCTGAAGTCTAGAGCGGCTGGGGAAAAGGAGAGAGGCGGCCCAAACTCCTTAGGGATGCTTAGGTTGTTTTTGCTTTATCCATCGCCTCAGGGGCTGAGTGTGGTGGTCTGTGAGGGATGTGCAAAGTTGGGTTTTGTCTCTACATCCCCTGAAATACCACATCCTTGGTTTGTCCCACATTTAGAACTTTGTGCTTTATGAAGCCAAAGAATATTAGTCTTAAGTCAAATTTAGCATTACAGTTGTGCTATGATACTGTTAATAAAACAAAATTTAATCCAGTTTTCCTCCCTTCAATAGCTATAATGTGAGAACATCACTGTTCTTTGTAAAATACCTTAGGAAATAAAGTTTAATGTTCTTTTTTGCATATTTAAGCACCAGACCAGACTCCTCCTTTGAAAGGGAAAATTACATGAATAAATGCTCTAAGTAGTATTGATGATTGTAGCAGAACTATTACTAATGTATTACTAATATAATCCTAATATATTACTAATATATTACTAATTAACTAATGTTGCTAATTGAACATTACCAGCAACAATCACTGGTCTCAACAAAGTGAAAGTAAAATATTTAATTAATCTGAAAGCCATCTGACACTGAAACTAAATAAAAGAGTTTAAATAAAGGGAGTTTATTCACTAAATAGAGATGGAGGCAGCAAGAACAGTTATCTTCCTGTAGGGCTGTGGATCCTGATGTGTATGAGGAGAGACTTCTTGTAATTATCAGATTAGTTTTGTTTGTAAGGACTCAGAGGGGAACATGCAGCACACACTAAAATCCTTCTCTGGCTTTTTTGAAGCAACTTTTTTATGTTTTTGACATGCCTGATTGAGACAAGGCCATTTGCATCAGCTGAATCTAAATATATCTGAAATTGTTCAACTGAAACATTTTCAGCCTTTATTTTGATATCAAAAATTACATAGTGTTCTACCAGTAAATCTAACGTATTAATGCGAGCATGGCATAAACAGGTAAAAGGACTTAACTGTAACTACTTTAAATGCAATAAATCAAGTGTGACATAGAAGTAAGCAAATTGATCCAAGTCTCTGATTCATTTTTTTCTCCAAAGTCAGTATTAAGACCGATCAGCAGGACATAGTGAAGAATTATGCTGATTTTAAGGGGTCTTGCAAGTGATCATTAAACAATATTGATGGTGAAAATTTTTAGACCCCAGCAGTAATTAAACAATTTTACTTGGGTTTTTACAGAATCCCAGGATGGCTTGGGTTTGAAGGGACTTTAAAAACCATTTAGTAATTATCATGAGCAAGGATGTCACTCACCAGATCAGGTTTGGAGGTATTTTAAATTTATTTCAAGTCAACTAACTCCCCTAAGTTACTACTACAGAAACTGTGTGTGGGGAGAGTTCCAGCTGTAGGATCATTCGTTTTTACAGCCTGTTTGAACAGCCATATAATTAAAATTTGATTTGATTAAGGCATCATGGGCAGCACTGAAGGGGTCCCCAGGGTGGCTGTACTCTGGACAAACTCATTTCTGTGCGTTCCATCACCGCCAGAAAAGCTCCGACTTTCCCAGGCGGGCAAAAGGCGCACTTTATTTATCCACCTCCCTTCGGTTTCCCCCCTTTGTTCCTTTAATTTTCGCGGCCCCGCTGCCAGCCCCCGGAGCACAT